ATGCCGATTCCCAAAGAGCCATTAGCCAAAAACTTAGCACATCTCTGCACGGTGTGCAGTGTGGCCTTAAAAAACAGCTCATGAAAAAGATACAGTTATGAGGTACATTTAGATTTTTATCCACCATGCAATACTGGAAAGCATCTGAGCATGACCCAAACATACTGCCAATGCAATAAAACACACAGTGGGACACTATCAGCCATGGATTGGCCTCCCCAGAGCCAGACGTCAACATCATAGAAGCAGTGTGGGATCATCTTGACAGAGAACAGAACAAAAGGCAGAAACATCCAAAGAAAAGCTTTGAATGTCCTTCAAGAAGTCCGGAGAACTATTCCTGAAGATGACTTGGTGAAATTTTAAAAAAGCTTGATTAGGAGAGTTCAGACTGTGTTGAAGAATAAAGATGTTGTAACAAATGTTGACTTTCAAGATCGCTGCAAGTGTACAAACTCTGTCTTTGACTTTTTACACAGTTTTGAATACTTTAGCCTCCACATAAATATACAGACCTCTGCTATATTTAACAGGACATACACAGATCAAAGTACAAGTACCTGCTGCTAATAAGCCATGAAAAGCTAAAACAGAAAAGTCCACTGGTATTTATTCAATTCAACTGCCTCAAGGCGCTGCAGCTCACATTGTTCTATTCGTCATGTGAGGACGAGTCACATTTCTGTGGAGTTTTAACCATGAGTAGTGCTAAGCAGGGGTATTTCTCAGTCCCTGTTTGGTGACTCTCCCACGCATCCCATCCACAGTAGCTGTCATAAGGTGAAAGGCGGGGTACACTCTGGACAGTTCATCACATGACTCTGATACATACACTTGTGAAATGGAGACGTTCCATGTTTTTGAATCATATTCAACATTTCATCTTCTTCGATACAGTGCCTGCAAATAAATGTGATATACTAGGATGCAAACAAAAAAAATATATTTATCAATAGATGTAACATTTGCATAATCGTCCACAGCGCTTGCTGAAATGTTAGACCGTCCTTCCGTGCAGTACATTTGAGGGTTTTCTTCCATTCCTGCAAGTGGGCCTTTGCGGATTTGCTGCGTGCTCCTGATCACCATTCACTCGGATATGATGACTTGAATCAATGTCTGCAAACTCACCAAAGTTTGAAGCAAGAAACCCCAAATGAAAACATTTCCACCGCTATGCTTTGCAGATGGTTCTTCTCCTGAAAAGCCACATTGGGTCCAAACAAGTTTACTGCTCCTGTGGCCAAACAGCTCTGTCTTTCATTGGGCTGCCCAGAGCATGTTATTCCAAAAGTCTCTGTGTTCACCTATATGTTCACTGGAAAACTGTAGATTTATTCTAATCTTTTTGGGCAGGAAGTTATTTTAACCCGAACCCTTCATTTTCACACAAATGTGCACAAGGATGCTCATTCTCACATATGTGTGCGTGCGTTAGACGTTCAGATCGGCAGGTGAGGTGCCAGCAGTGCTGTCCAACAAAGGCTGGAAAGAAGAAGAAGACAGTATGTGAGCAATGAAAGGTTTGTTCTTCTTTAAGAAAAGCATCGGCGTGACTCCTCGGGCTACTTTTAAATTCAAGTTTGATTTTAATTTACTGTTTGATATGGTGCCTGCTGTGTGGGGCCTCGTAAAAAGGCACTAGAGCTCTGAAAAGCGCCTCATACCCCTGCTATTTTAATGAACAGCGTCATTTTGTAAATGTGGCTTCAGCAGCGTGCTTGTTTAAAATGATTCAACGCGGTCTCCAGAAAATATTTTAGGAGTTGCAGAGATCTAGTGGTCAGGACACAGTGTCACCACGTGAAATTCTCTGAAGATAAGGACCTCTGTGCTTTGTATAGAAGGAGCTGGTACTCCTGTTTGAACCCACTGTCCTTTTGTTCCCTGGAACGGTTTATCTTTTTTTCTTTTCTTTTTATAAATTCAATTATGAATGAAAACTTTGCTCTCTGGCTCACCTGTTGATGGCACAGTGGAAACCAAACGTGCAGCGTGCAGATCGTGAGTCTATACAGCCACCGTGTGGTTACACACGGCACTGTCGCGGACATGAATGGCACATATTTGGAGTTGATGAGAGTGATTTGACAAGCAGCGGAAGCCTCGCGTAAAGCTTTCCGTGCGCTCCCCTCGTCGATTTTCACGGCGGCTGCCAGCTGGTATCAAAAATTCAGGGCGCACGCAAAGTTCGCTTCCAGCAGAGAGTGTGTGGCTGCGTGTGTGTGCGTCTCTCTCAGCGCGTGTGTGTACATTCATGTGTGCTCGGTCTGTCTGTCTAATAGACTGACCCCCCAGCACGCCGTTTAAAGGGAAGACAAGAGAGCTGAGTCAACGAATCACAAGGAGAAGGATGCAACAGTTGATGTGCGCCAGTTGCACAGTTTTCTTGTATTTGGAGACGGCCTGCACACACGGAGGATGGTGGCCGTGATTTGATCAGATGTTTTTGCTGCTTTGCTTTCAAACTCATCTGCCAGATAAAGCTAAAAGTTAAAGAGCAGCTCCTACAGAGCGGTCACAGCCTGTCCTCTTATTGCCAGACTGGACATTTGGACTGAAATGCATTTGGAGGGACTTCATGCTCTGCTGGAATGGAGTTGAAGCGGGGGATTTCGGATGGTCTGCGGCGGTGATTAGCAGCGCAGTCTGCACCAATATGCATCGGATTCTGCAGAGGAGACGAGTGCGAAGGCTGCGGGTCGTCTGGGCTTCTCTGGCCCTGGTGGCTCTGTCTCTGGCCGCATGCAGCGCGCTGTTTACGGCGTGGACTTTGCGACAGACGCGGGACCTGTCTCAGTCCTTCAAGATCCTGCAGGACCGACTCGAGCAGGTTTGTGTCATACTTTAGAAAAAGATCTTAATAATTCGAGCGTGCAGACAACCCCTCTCTGTTTTTGCACCAACAATAATATTTACTCTCCTGCAACTTTTTTTTTTTTTTTTTTTGAAAGACCATCAAGTGTTTCTTATGTAACTTCTTTTGTGGCTGCGGTTACGGGAATCTTGGCTGGGGGCATATGGACAAATCCACACTTCACCCTCCCCCTTTTCTCTCGCCCCTCGCACGTAGACTACTTATTCTCTCGCACCATTTCTCTGCTTGGCACTTTTATTACTCGCCAATAAGCGCAGTCAAATTGTGCCGAGTTGTTGCTTATTTTTGTGTCCGCCTCCCCCTGTTAACCACCTCCACCCCCATTCTCCCCGGGTGGTGGGGGGGTCATGATTAATTACTCTGGTGCCAGTTGTGCTCCATTTTTTTTAAATCTAATTTTACTGGAAAGCCTCAGCTATTTGGCGTATGCCCGCTCACCCCACTGCCTCGAGTCTGCCCGTTTCGAGGCGTGAAACGGGCTGCACGATAAAGCGTGGCAAGTGTAAATCATTTTCAGCCCGCACAAGCAAACGCTTCTAAATCTCCTGCAAAGTGCAGCTTTCCTAAACTTTTTTCCACTCTCCTTCTTTTTCTGTTTTGCACTTGCAGCAAATATCCGACACGAGATTGCATCACAAGACAAATAAATTTCCTAAAAGAGCCAGAATGGAAATTCTTCTTGTTTTTTTTTCTTTTTTTGAGTTCAGTGTATTTCACAAAACCAGATTGCAATGGATTTTATATCAGGAGAAAGGGGGGGGCAAGAAACCTGCACATAACACAAATACCCCCCAAAATTGGACACGTGGAGTGTTGCTGGAGCCCTCCCCAAGGGGCCCCTGTTCTGTCCATTTGACCGTTAGCCAACTTCTGATGAGAGCCAGTGAGTGAACGTCTGGAGGGTGCACTGCAGCTCTCTCGGCCTGCTTTTCCACAGTAGCAGTAAATTTAAACATACTTCTTCCCCCCTCCTCTGGAGCAGCTTCTCCTCTTACTCGATTTAGGCCTCCTTCGGTCACCCAGTGGAGTCTCCCCCCCAGCCACCTTCCAGTTGAGGGTTTAAATCCTGTCTGGCTTGACAAAATCAATTTCTTTCTTGCGGAAAAAAAATGACATGTGAAGAATTCGAAGTGCTGAAAACATGCATTAGGTGTCGCAACCAGTCGCTGAGGAAGTGGTAGATTTACAGCTAGAATGGCAGCAAAGGGGGCAGGATACTGCCAGAGACCAGTCTGCTGCTTATGTGGCTGGCAGGAAATAAAGGCTGTCTGTGGCCGTGAGTGGGTTCTGTGCCAGAAAAAAAAAGTTATGAGAAAAATAACTGGCCGTTTGTTAATAGCTTGTTTTTTTTTTCTGTGTGTTTCAACAGGTCAACAAACAGAGGAAGGCCATTGTTCAGCTGATCCTGGAGAATAGAGAGCTGCTGGTGGGGCATCGAGTGAAGAGAGATGGTACTAGTGCTGTGATATACTGCTAATTTGGTATCGATCCCATACCAAGTAAATTCATGGCCAGTGTTTCAGCAATACTTTTAACCTCTAAAGGCAGCTTATGTAGCAGATTTATGAGATGAATCATCAATTTGCTAATTCCTAACACATTTTAATGGTTAGTGATGAGTAGTTACTAAGAGAAAACACACCTTTCATCTTTTTATGTATTTTGAAAGTGCTTTTTTTGTAGAGCTGGAGTCTAAGTGTGTCCATCTCTGAAGCACATGAGCTTCTGTTGTTTAAATGTGCTGAAGTCTGTAAATAAAACAGACGTTAGGCCATTTTTCACAGTAGATGTTTGATATTTTTCCTTTTCCAATAAAATAATTTAACACAATTCAGTTGGCTACACACTGAACTTAGTAGGACATTAAAACCAAACATCGATCCTTTCGCGCCAATACCAGCATTCGTATTGATGCTATCGATATTTGGCCCAATCCGCCCAAATCTAGATGGTACTGTGTCTCAAAAGCCTGCCAAAGCCCGACATTTTTCTTGCACTGCAGCACCGCCGGCATGCATAAGACGTCCTGTCCTTTCAGCTCTCCAAATTGCCACAGACACAGTCTCCTTACCAACTGTTGTTTTTTTAGGAAGAACATTTAACGCAGAGCGCTGGCCAGTCTTGGCCCCACATGCCACTTTGGTCAGGTCTCGCGGGCCGCAGGCACTACCCGCTGCTAAAAGTTGACACAGGAAAAAGTAGGCAGCTGGAAGACTGTTTCAGAAATTACAGGTCTGACCAGAGCGGCCTCGAGTCCCAGAAAAAAAGCAGTTGGCGCGGGCGCTGGGGGCCTTGTTGCACGCTTTCGGGCAATGAAATTGATTTTTTTCCCCACCGCTAGAACACACGACTGACACAGCTATGATTTGTTGTGAAAGCGGTGATATTTGATGACCTATCATTGCTGTATTTATAGCCTCTGCTTGCGTCACCATCACGGGACTGCTTGATTGTCCACGTTTTGCCCGAGAGTGAACCCACACGAGGGCTTTTTAAGGGGGATTAGTGTCTAGATTTCACCAGTTTATCTGTATTGATATCCTCTAAGTGCTAGCTTATTGGTTTTAGTAACTAATATCTCATTAAACTGTCAGAAACTCATGGCTGTCAATGGAAAAAAAAGAAGAAAAACGAGCGAATAAGAAGAGCAAACAGCTTTTTCCAGTCTTGCCTTTCAGCTGGACACTGCTGTTATGTTCTCCTCTGAAAAGACCGACAGCTTAAGTCGAGAAAATCTGGCCAGCCTGAGGGCTTTACGCTCGGCCGTAGCAAATCCAAAGTCCACAGGGTCACCCACATGTGAGTTATTTTCACAGGGGCTCAATATTGATGACGGTGGGGGGCGTTTGGCCCGTCTCATCCTGAAACATAAAGTGTGTAATTCACAGTTCATACACAGAGTTGTATCAGTGTTTGAAATCGGCTGGATTGTAAGGCAAAAAACCCGTAAAAAAAACTTTTAGTGGGGAATAAGAGCAGGCGGTCATCAGTGCTGTGCTTTATTTATTGCAGCTATCTGAGCCTGTTCTTGGATGAAGCTGGCTGTTGCTTCACTCTGTCACGCTGCAGCCAAAGACCCTCTTTGACTCTCCTGTTCCTGCACTTCATTTTTCTTGCTTAGCCTTTTAGTTCTTCAGATTTGCCTTTTAATGCCTGTCCTTTTCTGCTTTATCAGTCACTTTCCCCCTGTCCATCTTGGGGGGTTTTATTGGTTTTCTAATTTTTTTTCACCCTTCCTTCCAATCAGATCTCTCCAGCCTCCTTCCTTCCATCCAATCTCTGTATTCAGTATTTTCTACATGACTGCGACCAACTGGCTCCAAGATTAGCTGCTAAATGTGTGTGTGCGTGTGGTGGTGAGGAGGCACGCGCTTCTGACCGAAAATAATAGTTTGAGGAAATATTATTGAAGCACGTGAAAGGAAATCCTTTACCCATCTGCTAACCCTGTTAGAGCCAGCCAGGTCTGGATCTGAATGGCACCAAATTAACACTTCATGTTCAGATAGAGATGGGGATGATTGCTTTGTCCAAATAAATTGTTCAAAAAAACCCCCCACAGACGTCATTTTTATGTGCATTCAGTCTCCTTTCCTGCCTCCCTTTCACAGAGAGGACGTCGAAAGCAGGGAGGAGTGGAAATGGAAGGAAAGCGGCGTCTCATTTTGAGAGTAAGTGGCTTGGCAGATCTCTCGTAGCTGTCTCGTGTAGCATCTGCTGAAGTGTTTTCAATCATATACCCCTATACGATTGCACTCATAAAATCTTAATTGACTTTCCCTTTTCCTTTTCTTTCAACATCGCTTTTGCTTTCCGTCAGTAACCAAAGTCTCCTCTCAGCAAGGTAAGAGTCGTAAAAGTGAAGGACAGAGGTTGATCTTTGGATCTTTTGTCTCTGAGAGGAATGACCTGGGATGTGTGTGCGTGTGTCTAACAGTGGGAGACGGTGGGGTGATCAAGGGCTGGGAAGAGAGGACGCTGAATATGAGTAAAGCGGTGAGGTACAACAAGGAGCAGGGCACCTTCACCGTGGAGAAAGCAGGCGTCTACTTCCTGTTTTGCCAGGTGAGTTTCTGCTGGGAGCTATAGTTTATTTTGAGCTGCAAACTCTCCATACAAGGTGTGGCTATTAAACAAGGAGTCTGGGCTTATCTAAGCTAACCCAGCATTAGTCTGGGACTGTCTGGCAGCCGCACCTCTACCTTAAAGCTGAACCAGTCACAACTTTTCCATTAATAATGTCTCAATTGAATGTGGGCAGTATTAAAGGCAGCTCAGTGGTGTGCTTTGAACCCAGACAGAGCGCCTCTGAGTGGAGTTAGCATGTTTTCTCTTTACACAAAAGAAAAAAAACACCAGGTTAGTTCTGCCTGTTTGTGTGTGATAAACTGTACAAAATCAAAATGGTTCCCAGTTGGCAGCTAGCTGATGTACACAGTGATATGCAAGCAAAGATGAAGTAAAGATCCAGATATTTCCCTCACGTTCTGGTGGACTGTAAATAAAAGATGCCCACATCTTTTTTTTTTTTAAAAAAAGTTCAATTTTCCAACAGTGTTAATTTCATTGTCAAGTAATTTCTCTCAATGACCTTTTTCATCGAGAGAAATAATTTTACTGATGCTTACGTCTGCAAATAGGAACGAGATGAAAATATTCTGGAGAGATGAGATCCAAAGACAACTAATTAAGTTGTAGAAAGGCAGAACGTGTTTGGCAGTGATCCAGTGTTAGATGCTAACAATCAATCAGCCCTCGGGCAATGGTACAGCTTTTTTTGGAAACAGAACTCAGAAATCTCCCTGTTTCTTATTAAAATGTGACAAAATGTTAGTGCTTTGGACAAAGACAAGAGCAGACATATGGACACATTTCACATTTGATGTCAATAAAAGTATGCCACACTTTTACG